CACACACACAACTACTGTATTTTTGTCCACCCTGTACCAATTGGAATCAACATGTGATACATTTTTGGAATCAGCTCAGCTAGAGTAATCCGAAAATTGAGACAAAATGGGGGTGTTCCATTAAAAAAATGACGGTGACGTCATTACTCGAACGTAATTCACCCTGTATATTAGATTATTATTTTAAAATACGGTAAATTAACATCAAAAATCGACTTGTTTCAGGATTATTTCTTAAAATGACCTGTTTAGCTAAAAATGAATTTGTTCCATACTTTACGGACACAGTGTATACATGTGACTACGATTATGTAATTTATGATTTTACAAATTGTATGTATAATTTTGAAATTTTTCAATTTTGTTGACGAATAATTGACCTATTTAAAAAAGTGTACGACTGTACATAAAATCAAAACATCTTTCAAACGGAATATTACATCACACTCTATTTTAAATGAATATTTCGTAAGGAAACATCTAATAAATTCTAGTTTTCTCTCAAATCGTTAGTAATGAAAGGAACGAATAAATAATTATAATAAAATAGAACGAAATGAATCCAAACAAACTCAAACTATGAAGTTGTGAATATTTCTGTATTTTTTGAAGAATGGTGTGGTTCATGGCATGCTATTAGGCTTTGACAAGTACCTGAAAAACTTCAAATCTGATGACGAAGCCGTCATTTTAAATATGTCGTCTGTGGGAGGTATCAAAGGCTATGGACATGTTCCAGTGTACGTTGCTACAAAATTTGCTGTTACAGGTGAGTAACTCATTTTGTCACATTTAGAAATATACCTATGGAATTATATTCATCTCACATCCTTCAACAGATGAATTATTATTTTATTGGAAAAACATAGATACACCTATCCATGATTGCCAGATTACATAAAGATACTTGGGTTTTTAAAACAGGAACTATGATTATATCTGAATATTTCAATTTTATTTTATAATTTGTTGAAATATTTTTAAAATTTGAATTGAAGGGGTTATATTTTTGGGAGTGATTAATTTTTGGGAAACAGAGTTTTTGGCTTTCTACTACTCCATCTTGATACAAAAAAAAGGATGAGGGAATCTTCCAAATATGAATTACGATTTTTAAGGTCACGGAATAAGCTTGATCTGCTTATATCATCGATGACATCGTAATGACATTCATTCACATATTTGATTCAATCCCAGCCAAAAGGAATCTTATTTGAATTGAAGGGGTTATATTTTCAGGAGTGACTAATTTTTGGGAAAGAAAGTTTTTGGCTTTCTACTCCTTTATCTTGATACAAAAAAAAAGAATGAGGTAATCTTCCAAAGAAAGGAAGGAAGTAATCAATTTGAAAATGAGTAACTCTATACATGGATGTGTAGATCATGCAAAGAAGTAACTGTCAGACACAAACTGAAAGAAAGTCCTCCTGAAACAGCCACTTTCATATAAACATTGAATTACACGAAAGCTAAGTAGAGAAAAGTATCTTCTGTATAATTCAGTGTTCATATAGAGGTATTTGTTTCGAAAAAATTACTTATTACCTATTCATTTTCAAATTGATTACTCCCTTTCTTTCTTTGGAAGATTCCCTCATCCTTTTTTTTGTATCAAGATGGAGTAGTAGAAAGCCGAAAACTTTCTTTCCCAAAAATTTTTAAAATAATCTGTGAATAATCGATTAATACCTAATAATGATCGATTTGCAAATGTATCACAATTTCCATTTTTTAGGTATAGGTGAACTTTCATATGGAAACCCAATTCGAATTTTCGCGACCGAATATTTTAGGTATCGTAGAATTAGAAATCTGCTTTGTATGACCTAGTTTTTCGAAGCATATGTTTCGGAATCGAAAACCATATTTCACAGATATATTCATGGCAATTAATTGAAAATAAATCATTGATTGAATTATAAACTCTGTCATAAAATCTGAAATCTGTTATATTCAATATTGCAACTTCACTTTCTGTTTCTAGATCTTTCTCTTCCACTCTTTTGATAGTTCTTTTAGCATTATTTACAATCTATATATTCAAGGTATCAGCTGGTCAGCACTTTTCGAAGTGGTTATTTCTATGTAAAGAAATATCTTTCTTTTCAAACAGGAATGGTAAAGTCTTGGAGTTATCCAACCCACTATGAAAGAACGAAAGTTCGGGTAATCGGATTGTGTCCTGGAGCAACTGACACTACCTTACAGGTCATGGAAGGAAAATACATCGGTCCTGAATATGAAGATAGTATCAAGGATATACCTGTGGAGCAATTTGTGATACAGCCGTAAGTACTCAGATTTCAAGTTAGTTCAAAAATAGAAACTGACTAATTCTCAAAATATGAGTGGTTTCGTCAAATGAGAAGAAACTGAACTCCCTTATTTCATAAACAAATCATACCCGTGTGACCCGCCAAACTTAGTATTTAAAAATGCCACTTTTTTGTTTTTCTGGTTTTCGTTGAAGTAAGTATGACTTTATATAAATCGTGAATGAAAGGAATATCAATGAAAAAATGAATCCCAGTGGAAACGAATTCAATCTCAAACCTAAAAAAAGTAAAAATATTATCAATAAAAAATAATTCCACGAATTCATTCTCAAACCTAAACATTCTTCAGCGATATTGACGTCAAACCTAAGGGTTTTTTTTAAGCCAAGGACAGACACAAACTTCACAGTGGGGGTCGAAATAGTTTCAATGTATCAACTGAAACAGTTGATACGCCAAGAAGAGTACTTCGACCACCCCACTGACTGCCGCAGTTGCAGTTAAAACGTTTAGAGATTGTAATCAAAACCCGGAAATCAATCATAACATATAAGTGAAGTATTCGGGCATAACAGAGCTTTTCGTCCCAGCATTTCCCAAATTTCAGTTGAGTAATAATTAAAAATTCCTCGAGGTGGCAAATAAACACATGAAAAAAAATAATATTTTGCAACAGAATTGAAATATACCTCATTAATGTGGTATGAATACTATAAAAAAATGTGAGATAAATGAAATTCTCAATTTTCTTGTTATTATTCAGAAACTTTTTTTTTCAGTGCCGAATTCGTAGCTTCCGAGATGGTAAAGTTACTGATGAACTCGAAAAATGGTACAATGTGGGTTGTTGAAGGATCTAAACCAGCCTATGAATACATTATTCCTGAACGTGAGACTTTCAAAAACAATAGATTGTAATTGAAATGAAAATAAAGTATATATGGCCCTATGCATTAGTGCTTGACATATAACATATGTGGAACATAAAATTGGTCAATATCCATAACTATTTCTCTTATAGAATGCAAAGAATTAGAAGATCAGAGAATTAGGAATAAACTGCTTGCCAATCCCAACGGGGCTAGATCCTTCTGGTCGGTAGCTAATGGTGTTAATCAGAAATTTGTAAAATCTACAATTCCCCCACTAATACAAGCGGATGGTTTATTTATTGCAACAACAGCTATAGAAAAAACAAATATACTATATTGTCTCCAATACTCTTTTTTATTGTATATCAACGACTTATTGAAGAAAACCAAGAATCCAATATATTGCTTTGCTGACGACAGCACACTTGTCTCGTCATTCCATTTGGATTCCAGGATATCGGCTATGGAGGCACATCTTTACTGGCAGCAGGAGGATCTATATCTTAATCAGGATCTAGAATCGGGGGGAAAGTAACCAGGTTCATTTCAATGCCACAAACAGGCATCGGGTTTCTCCAAGAAGAAAAATGTCTCCGAACCGAATATAATAATGTCAGGAGAGACAATTCCGTTTTCTGCTTCGATAAGTTTGTTGGGGGTTGAAAGGGACACCACCATGTCTTGACACAATCATGTCGCTGGAATTGCAAAGACTGCTTCTCAATAGCTTGGAACACTGTTGCACAACACTGTACACACCTTAGCAACTTTTGATGCTTTATGAAGCTCAGATCAGACCTTCTTTGGAGTATTGTTCTCATTTATGGAGCTCTGCTCCCAAACATGCCCTGAAGTTGCTGGATTTCATCCAGAAAAGAGCCATTCGCCTGATTGGAGACGCGAACATCACGTGCAACCTTGATAGCCTGAGACATCGAAGAAAGGTTGGAGATCTGTCTCTTTTCTATGGATACTTTCACGGGAGGCTTGGTACAATTGATTCCACCAAAGCGGTACATACCAGAAATACGCAATGGACAGTGGCTGCTCATCATTTTGAGGTTCAACTCAGTACACCTCGAACTTCACTGTTTAGGAACTTTTTCATCTACAGAACTGCGTTCCTGAGAACGTTTTTCCAAATGGATTCAATCTCAAGGAGTTTCAAATCCAATCTGAATCGCTACTTTCGCACAGGCACCGCTTTGAGCGCGCCTTGAGAATTTTACTCCATTGGTTGCGTTTTGTCCTTTGGAAAATAAGAGAAGAAGCAATTTTATACGCACAATGAGTCCTGAATCACTTAAGCGAATGGTCTATTGATAATAGAATGGTCTATTGATAATAGACCATTTGCTCCATAATAGACCAAATACACGTGAGAAGACCATTTTCTTTGGTTTTCATGATAGTGAAGGTGAATGCAGCCTAAATCTAATAATAGGCTTAGATCGGACAAACATGTCTAGAAAGCGAGACACAAAATTACTAGCTTTCTTTTAAATGAACACTTCAATTTTAGTACACACTCTGGTTCAAATTTGAGAAATTACAATTACTATAGTTGAAAGTACCGAAAGTTGAATGGATTGATGAAAATCAATCATTGATGTGAGTCCTGGAAGTCTGTCAGTCCAAAAATTTGTTATCGGACGGTAACTGTGTAGAATAACAAATCAATGAGACACATTTATTCATTGAATTTTTTTATACAACACAATTTCAATTTCAAACATTTTAATTCTCATTTGTATTATAAGAAAATGGATATTTCGAAATAAAATCTCAAAATATTCATTCCTCCCAACAGTCTTCAGACACGCTTTGATCTTTCATAGTATTATTGGAGCATGGGATGTTCCTTCCCCGCTTGGAACTTTGTTCACGAGATGGAGCTGTTACTAGTTGATAATATTTCTCTAAGACGAAGGTTTCATACATGCAGTCGAGCCGCGTTAGAATCCCAGGGGAGTCCCAGACACCTCGCCGTTCGGGTCGGATCTTTCCTGCACTGATGAGAGGTAATACCTCGAAACTGGTCGAAACCGGTGATCTACTCAAATGATTAATAGAATATTCTTAAGTTTTTTCTGCAATACGTGTACTATGAAAAAAATAGAATATTATACTTGTCGATAAAATGCTTTATTGAGCTATGATATAAATGACTGTCATTAAATTAGAAGAGATGCACGAACGTGCGAAAATAATTGAGAATTTTTGGAATAAAGTGTACAAAAATCAATTTAAATAAATGTGACTAGGTAATAGGGGCCATTAACATCTAGAAAGTTGAAGCTTTGTATCATATACAAAGTTTGTAGATTTGTATATCCTACATAAAAACTTTGTATATAAGTCTATAATATACAAACATGCAAAAGTTGTAGCGTGTTGATAGTATTTTGACTTCTGCTCACTAGATGTCTCCTGTGAAATCATTCTTTATTTTCACCTTTGAAAAATAACAGATATCTTCTTTCGTCATCCTCTTTATGTAGAGAAATATGTAAATATTTATGTACATTCAGAAGTCTTTGGAAATACTAATTTTAAATTTGTTTGGAAAGCATACAGATAGGATTCCTATTTCTTTTCTGTTTTCAACACCAATTGAATCATTCTCGATATTATCATTCAAATTAGGTATGTTATACATACCCAATAAATAGGTTCACTTCTTCTATCTAATGAACCGGAACACCCCCCCGGATTGAGCGCCCTGAGATGCAATATTTCCCACACTTTTACTGTGTGCAGAAGCTAGAATATCGTCCATCCACCCCCGCCCATCCCTGAGTGGACCTCAACCTGCTGATGGGCTCTTCAGAAAGATTGACATCTGAGCACTTTCATGATATATTGATTTTATTTGTCGTGATTTTACTGAATGTAATGTGTGCATGAAGGTCCCCTTAACCTTACCGGAGACAAGTGTCTTTCGCTCGCGAACTACTTTTGTGTGTATGTATCTGTAAGAAAGTGTGTATTAGTAATCTAAATATAAGTTACAATTCTTACCGGAGCCGCCTGACAGCTACTCTGGTAGCTGCTTCGTAGGCCTCATGTGTTTATCCCTTTCGCGAAACCTGGGCACAGTATTATACAGAAATACTGTGACCTGGGTTCGTCCCTATTGAGCGCTTCATGTAGGTCACGCGGCGCTGGACTGGCATGTGTTCGTATTCTTGTTTTCGGCGTGCATGAAAGTCTGGATACTGCGTCTGTATGTCACTGCGCACTGGCCCCCAGCAGAAAGGTGGGAAGAAGAACAGTCTTGATGAGAAGCAGTTTCACATGGGGACCCATGTTGCTCCTGCAACTTTAAATTTTGTATAAGTTTTGTCGGGCGGCTCTCGCCAGCCCTAGTCTCTGCCGTATGTGGGACCTGAACGTCAGTCTACTGTCGAGAGTGACTCCCAGGTTTCTTGCTTCGTTGGTCCACGGAATATCTTTTCTGTTGAAGGTGACGTTTCCTTCCGGGTGTACCAGCCTCCGGGTGAACAGTATCAACTGACTCTTGTCAGCGTTTATACTGATTTTAAAGTTTGGTTGGCCCTTTGTAATCTGCCCGCTTGTTGTTGCAAATATCTGGTGATTTGCGCATGGCTGGTGGATCCCGCCAGTAGAGCTGTTTCGTTCGCGTAGAGTGCCAATTTGTTGAAGTTGTTCTTTGGCTTGGGCATGTCTGCTGTATATACCGAGAAGAGGTGTGGGAGAAAAACTGCATCTTGTGGGATTCCTGCTTCCAGAAGTATCATGGTAGAGAGTTCGTGTCCTACTCTGCAACGGCATCGTCGCTTCACTATAAAATATTTGATTAGTCTCACCATTCGTTTCGAGTAGCCAACATTGCTCATTTTGGCTAGAAGTCCGTCGTGCTAAACTCTGTCAAACGACTTGAAGACGTCTAGGAATATTGCTCCGGTGTAGTTGAATACCCTCAGGACTTGTAGCTCTTTTGAATGTTCAGATCTGAAACCAAACTGTTCGACTGGTAAAATTCTCAGTTCGCTGGTTTGGTCATCTAGTCTTTTCAAGATGACTCGTTCTGCCACTCCGTTCATGGAAGGGTTTTAGATTATTGGCCTGTGGTTGCCCGGAAATACATGATTCTTCTACGGATTCGGAATATGGATAACCCTTGCCACCTTGAACGGGTACGAGAAATTTAATCTGAGTATAGCATTAATGATATTCGTCATTGCCGCTATACCCTTTCTTGGTAGGACCTTCAGTGGCCGGTTGGGGATTGGGTCGAGGCCTGGTGCTTTCCGAGTGGCAAGGCCTCTTACGGTACATTTCACTTCCTAAGGGGATGTTGGTGCCAGGGGTTGCGTGTTGTTCCTTCGCTGCCGTCTGTTCGACTCGGTTTTCGACTTATTCTACTTCGTCCGTAAATGAAACATCATTTTCTCTTCATTATTTTTCGAAATTGTCAGCAAATGCTTCTGCTTTCTCTTGATCCGTGTTAACGATCACTTTCATCGTGTGTTGGCGGGCATAGTTTTCAGCGGCCCTACCTCAGGACTTTCTGCATTCTCCATGCAGATTGGTCTTCTATGATGAGTTCTTCCAGACGGGCTGGGCTCTTCATTTTCAGTCTCGAAGTGCATGCAGCTCTAGCCGCAGGATTCTGCCGGCTCTGTGCAAATGAACCGGGGACAAAACATCTTGTATGTATATCTTTGGACACGAGGTGCGGTGGACTGGTTGTGTAAGTGCAGGTAAGTTTGGTGGTGGAAACGGAGGGTGTTAGGTTCTATAGTATAAAGTATACTATGGTGTTACTTACAGAAGTGTGGCATAATACGTTGTGAGATGTGTGGCTGGACAAAAGTGACCTCCACTCCTGTTGAAATTTCGTGACTACTCAAAGAGCAACAAAACTAATGAAATCCAATATCACCCCAGCGAATGAAAAATCTCTAATTCAGAGTCAACAATTTTTTTTGAAAAGTGTTTCTACTGATTTGTTCTGATTTTTTTGGTACAGTTGTTCCATGCAGTAGATGTGGTAAATTCGACTGGATTATTCGATATTAGAGACAAGACTAGGACTAAACAAATATACGTTACCGTTCGAAAAACATTAGGTTTTTATTGCCAAAGTAAAAGAAGAAGAAACAGAAAAATTTGAAATTCATAACAGTACAAGCACGCTGCAGTGTCGTTTTATGTACAGGAAGGAGCAAATGTTTGTTTGTTCTTTGCCCTGTATTGTAGTTTGGGAATCCCCGGGATCTATCTGAATTGTATTTCTCAAAATAGTCCTTCTCAAATATAATATACTTGTGCCAGCGTTTTTTCCAGTCCTCGAAGAAGTTCTGATATACACTTTGGTATGTCTTCGAGCTCTCTAGGTGATTCAATTTTTATCTCCTCAGTCGTCGCAAAATGCCGTTTTTTATGGGTCTCTTCAATCTTGGGAACAGGAAAAAGTCGCAAGGGGTCAAATCTGATGAATGAGGTAGCTGAGGCATGATTACGATGGCCAAAAAATCACGAACGAGCAATGACTAGTCATTTTTGACCGAACCTCCATGTGACAAGAACTTCTGATGTACTACGTTACGATAATCGAAGGAAACAGTGAGCCAAATGTTGATGTTTGATCAAACTTTTCAGTCTTGGCTCTCCTGGGGCTCTCCATTGGGACGATTGGACTTTAGTTTCGATGTCATTACCATATACTCATGATTCGTTACCAGTTATGACCTTTTTGAGCGAACCTGGATCGCTGTTAACGTCATTCAACAAGTTCTGAGCGATGCTCATGTGACGGTTTTTTGGTCAAAATTCAGCAATCCTGGAACGAACTTCGCTGCCAAACGGTTCATGCTTAAAATTCCGAAAAAATTGCATGGCATGTGCCAACCGATATACCGACATTCTCAGATACTTCTCTAACAATGATTTGACGATTCTCCATAACAATTTTTTTCGTTTTCTCAACATTTTCATCGATTGTTGATGTGCTGGAGAGTCCAGGACTAGCGTCACCTTCAGTAAATAGCTTGTACCACTTGTGAACAGTTTTCTTACTCAGAGTACAATTATTGTTTGCCACTATCTATATTTTAAGTGTTTTGGAGCATTCCATTCCATTTTTTCCAATAGCATGCCGACCACAGAAAACCTAACTTACATGCCTCTGACCAACAAACTGAACATATTGAACAGCTGAATTTGAAGCAGCGAAAATATGTTCAAGACGAGTGCACCAACATATTGTGTGATCACTTCTTTATATGTTATGAGTAACCTTCGACCTATATATCCCCAACTTTTCATGTTGCCATATGATAAACGATATATTGAACCTATATTGACTGTGATAATTCAATTGTTCAGAGAATAATAGAATCAACGAAGCTATTTTTTTTTCGACTCTAACACATTTAACAGTAAATTATCATATTGTTTCAGAGTTATACACTGTTTGTCTATGATAAACCAGCTTTATTCGCTATGTAACCTTGTTTGTGAAATATTACTTTTTATTCAGTACTTCATGAATATAACTGACGGAAAGAAGAAAGGAGGAATTTCAATTTCGACTTGAAGATGGTTTTTGAAGTAACCGGTAAAATAGCCCTGATTACTGGAGGAGCATCAGGTTTGGGATTCAGATACGCCAAAGAACTGTTACAAAATGGATTGAAAGTAAGTTTTCGGATGTATGACAAATTGTGCGCTCGACTGATTATGAAACAAATGATTTTCACACGAGATATGAAAAATTCTCATTTATACTCTCTTTTCCAGGGTGTTACTCTGGCTGATATGGATGCGGTATCTGGAAAAAAAGCAGAAGAAGAATTGAGAAGCACTTTTGGCGAAGATAGAGCACTTTTTATCAAAACAGATGTAACAAAATACGTCGAATTCGAAGGTGAGGTTTTCAAGTTTTTGTTCAAATACATGTGGTGGGGATATCAAATATTAAGAAATGTATACTCATTGATACACGACATTCAAAAGGAAACTTGATGAAATATATTAGAGAACGCATCAGATTTTTAAATCTGGATTAGTTTGATGCGTAGATCTTTCGCATATGTTCCTTTCAGGGATAAACTGATAATAAATACTTTAACCTGAATATTGAATTACAGGAAAGGAAAATATCTGTCAAAATAACTATATCGAATTACAAAAAAAATTATTTTTTAATGTCTACTAGCTGGCCCGCAAACGTTGTTTTCCCACATAAATTATTTCTATCAGAACAACTTACAAATAATAATAATCCCTTAGTGATATAGTGTGTACAATATTTTTTGTTAGTCTATGTTCAGCTAACGCAAACAAACAGGATGTTTTACCACTGGCCTTGAACCTTATTAGTTTTCATTGCAAATGCCAATCTAATTCGAAATGGCACGTAATATACGACATTTTTCATTTTGTTATCAGGCGCAAAAACAAATAAAGCATGTCACGTATAATTGACTATGTGGAAACCATGAATTTTCTCTATCATCTTTTTCGTCTGGTCGAATTTTTTCGATTAAATGTATGAGAATATTTGTTGCCGTTGCCTAGCATCGCGACGTGTATGCACAATATCACGTTTTTCTAAGTTTTCACCAACAATGAGGCATTCGCGATGTTTCGAATCCTAATTGCAGTACGGCAGATCTTCTTGGTCGCGCCATTGTTAATAATAATATCGTCACAATAAGATTTACATCATAGTAATTCTGGCACAAAACAAACACATAACCGGTCAACTTCACGATAATTCAAATCATAACATAGATATAACATAGACATAGACAACATTACGTAAACTGTCAGTTAGGTTTTGTTATAACTGTTGTGAATCATGCCCTAAAGAAATTAACGCCGGCCGCCACTGGTATCCATAAACCAAAAGTGACGTAGCTAAGAGAGCGCGAATGCACAATGTTTCCTGTCACTCTAGAAGCAGCGAGAATACAGGTACCGATTTCGACGGAATTTCAGCAAGGTTTTCTCGCGCATTCGATAACGATATAAAACGCTAGCCGCGAGCATATCGACACAGTCAAGCGGAAGTTACAGTGCGGTACGGGAACTGATCTGGTGAGGCGATAGACATTCAAATAATAGTTGAAGTTTTTGTTGAAGTGTTTGTTGTATTCAAAGTTATATAAAGTTGAGTTTAATTATTCAGTGTAGTGAATCATTGGTCAACCCACGGGTGAAAAGGTAACATAACAAATGAGCTGTCAGTTACATTTCATCATAAGACGTCACTATTATCACTGATGTTATTTGCCTCTTTTGTTATCATTATTATTATCGATAAAACTTTATATTTCATTACTTATTATCCTATTCCCAACGGAGACAAATTCAAAAACATAAAAATCATAGAAATTGGTTCAACCGTACTTGAGTTCTTTTTTTACTATCATCATTATTATTTTTGTAGGGTTTTTCCTTCAACTATTTAGTTTACAAACATTTCATTTCTTTTGTTACGTTATCCGTAAAAGGTACCTATTTATTGTCGCTTACCCACCTACTAATAGCTCATATCGAGATCCTAAACAACCACCCGATAGCTTCTGCCACTAACGGAAAAATTAAAAAACTTGTTGGTCCTTGACCAAGGTATTTTAATCATTTTCAGTTGTAAATTGACAATGATGCTCGAATGTGAATTCAACTTAGGGATTATCGTAAAACGCTATAAGCGGTTGTGATTCACATATTCACAGAAACGGATTCGAATTAGTGCTGATTTGGAAGGTTGAGAATTTCATTTTCTTATCTCTTCGGAGGATATTTATATCAGTTTTTTCCAACTGTATATGAAAACGTCTTCGAATTATCAGGGTTCAATGATCAGAGGTGGGTTTTCAAGTATTATTCCTTGTGTCATCACAGGACTATAATATATCTCATAATACGAGGAATCCAACAATAATTTAATTTCAGGCGTTTTTTTTAATAACTAATAATACCACCCACAAAAACCCGATACTATTATACGAACAGTCATTTGGGGCACAAGGAAATGAGGAAATGTCACATAGGTTTTCATCCTTTTTCTTGATGAAGTAACGCAATAGTGCCCTATCACAGCTGGCCCTTTGGAATCGAGGCTAAGTACCGCATAGTGGCATTAAGGACTTTCCCTTTGAGTGAAAATAGAATATATATTTTTTATACCAATACCTTAACATTTCACATTACCAATATCATGTCTTCCGGTCAAATTTCTCTTCAGAGATTTCTAACTGGAGAATAAGTTTTCCCTCTCGTTGTGCAGGAGATTGGAAGGGTACGTTTCTTTTCCCAAACACCCTGTCCAGTTATCTTTGTCGTGCGCGACCCCCCTGCGTGGTTGGCTATTATTTATTAAATACGGTTTTTCTTGCACATTGCCAAACCCTGTGTAGAAATCTGTCAGTATATCCATTTGCCAAATTTTGAGTTTTATTGGTGCATTATTGTATCATAGATAATTTATAGATTTCGATCTGCTTGCTATTACGTTATATAGGGTTAATAGTAAATCTGTTGGCGCCCTTGGAACATAAATCATTTGTATAACTCACCCCCCTCTCGCTGTCTAAAAGCTAGCTGTGAGTAAATAACCCTATCCCGTCTATATCTAATATACCCCACATATGAACTAATGATTGAATAAGTAAGAAGGAAAAAATATTACGTGACACGTTATTAATTTTTATGTTTGTATTATAAATTCTTGTTAGGAAATTAACTTTTCATAACTCTATTATCGAGCAGTCGTCCAAAATATCCATCTGCTTGGGTTTTTCATGGTAATTCTTTTATCTCAATTTTTACTCAGCATTTTTGTATTTTTTCATCGCATGTCATTGAAATGCCATCTTCTCTCAAAAATAAAGTTTATTGCCGAAAAATCAGATGGATATTCAGAACGAAGCCATTTGGGATGTTTCGAGTAGGTACTCATTGTCAATACTTTTATGGATTCAGACAAAGAATTCGGGCACACGTGGTTGACCCTTCTCGACTATATTTATGACCTCGACCATAAAATAACAATAATAATAATAATGATAATAATAATAAGCAGGCAGGGATGGCCACTAACACCTTTGGCCTATGGTGAGTTGCGACACCACTTACCCGAGCAACTGGTGCAAAACCGGACCGGCAGCCCAGGCGCACCCGGGAAGGAGAACTCTATTCTCCCTCCGGTGCCGGCCGTGGGTCCACAGGGCTAACCACCCGGTGGACCCAACACTTGGTTCCCAAGTCAGAGACCTGTGTGTCTCTGAAAACACTGTCACTTGAGTATGTTCGGCCTTTGTGAGGTATTATTTTTAAAACCCACTTCTGAATTGTATCAAGATTCACCAAATATCAATATTTAACTCCTCCCCATCCAATTTTATTATTTCAAGTGTTTCATGTCTAGGAATTTTCTGAGTTATTGGAATTTAGAAAGTGTACCTCTCATTTTTCTTACTGTTTCTTTTATGTGTAAGTCCCAATGAAGGTGTCTATCAGTTGTTACCCCTAGATATCTGATTGAGTTATACAGTAATTATTGTTGATATTGAGTTGTTCAATATAAGGCAATATATTGGACTATGACGTGAATGGTAAATAATTCGTTTTATCAAAATTGATTGTGAGTTTGTTCTGTAGAAACCAACTTTCGATTGTTAGAAAATCTTCTTCTGCACATAACTTGAGTTGTCCCCACAGCTCAATACCTTACCTCTTGTATCAAGAAGGAGCAGTTCATTTGAGTAAATTGTAAAAAGAACGGGGCCTAGCATTGTTTCTTGAGGTATCCCAAAGCTCACAGCTTTCGGATTACTCATTGTATCACCTATCCGAGCGATTTTCTTCTTGCCCTGGGATTTTTGTGATTTTAATTCCATGATCACGTCATGTACTTCATTTGTATCAGTTTCATAAAGATACAATGAATTTTGTAACCTTAGTTTTGGAATATTGTAGTTTTTTGGTTCAATTCCCTGTTCGCATATATTTCTCCAAGTGATGCATAGTATTTGTTGAATGAGTTACATATATCAGTTACATCATTAGTTACTGTTCCATTTTGACTCTAATTTTTGGGATTTGTGTTTGAGGTTTTGATTTATTGCATATTGTCAGTGATGATAATTCGAAATTGACTTCGAACATTTTTTCTTAGCCGATAAATCCATTCTGTTCTGAGGTTTCGGCCGGGAACTAATCCTAATTATGATTCTCCTCGCCACGAGGTTACACTGTTATTTTCTGTTTGTTCATTTGTTGATGTTGTTAATAAATTCTATTATTTGTAAAAGCTGCGTCCGTCTGATTAATACTTCACCTATCACCTGTCCTGACATTTTCATTTATGAAATATCATATTTCAATACTCATCATCCTATCCCCGAAGAAAACAAATCCAAAAACACCAAAATCATAAAAACTGGTACAACCGTTCTCGAGTTCTTTTATTATTATTATTAATATTGATGGAATACTCAATACTCAATGTTCTATTTCCGATGAAGATCCAAATACACATAAATCATAAAAATTTGTGAAAAATTATAAAAACTACAGTATATGTGTGAAATTCGATACTTTCCAGAATAATGTCATGAACATTCATTTGAGAAAGTTTTAGCATTGTTATATAACGTCGAATTATATTTTTCTAATGAAAGGTAGAAATATTAAAAATAACATTGAAAATGTTGTATTTGTTTCGCAGTATTCTCATCAATATATTTTTTTCACAGAAGCATTCCAGTCAACAATAAAGAAATTCAAAAATGTGGACATACTCATCAACAACGCGGGGATAATGAACGACTCGATTTGGGAAAAGGAAGTGGCTATCAATATGGTAATTGTATATTAAAGAGCTAGAAATACAACATTCTTCATGAAATTATTATGTAATTATTTTTTGATTCGCATTATTTTCATTATCAGCAGACATATTGTAAATATGTCCACACTTTGTCATTCGCACTTGATATGAGCTAAGTTCATCAACCTCCTACACGGAGTGTTATCTGACTTGAGCTACCCACATCTTTGAAATGTTGAATACGAACCTGAATTTTTTGTTGCAGTTTTTGGATCTTGAACGTTCATTTAGTTATGAAAAAATTTGATTTTTTTTTATGTCAATGGATTGTTTGGTGATATTTCATTTCAATTTGGTTATTCATTGTGTTTTTCATTACGATCCTCTGCAAATGATTATTCAAATGATAGTGTCCTGTGAGAAGGCCTGTTAGACCTCATAGTTCATCCCTACTATAGTCCAACAACTGTCTAGTATCAAGTTGCGAAGGGTTAGCCAATTCTGGAAGGTTTTGCCAGTAGTCCAAGAAAATTCTTTCCATTGAGGTGTTGAATGTTTGTTTGGTTTATTTGAAGGTGTTTTTCATCCATCTGTGAACCAACAATTATTTGCTCTTAATGACTACTTTATAAGGCAGTTCGTAATTGATAGTTGGAGGCATAAAGTCAGAGGTCATTTCCAGAATGCTGTGACTTTCAGTGTCAACCAGTAGTCTGTTGTACTCTGCGTTAAATTGATTTGTGCAGTTGGCAATGTGCACAAGTCTATATGCAGTCCGTCTAGCTCTCTCTCTTCAGAAAAATTTGGAAAGGAGGTAGATCTAAAAGAATCTCCATGGCCGCTGACGGTGTGGTACTGTTGGCACTACTGATGACCAGGCAAGCCTGTTTCTGAAAGCCAGAGAGCTTTGCCTGAGCCGTTTCCTTCAAAGCCTTCGGCCACCAGGCAGTTGCTCCATAAGTGATCATTATTCTGACAAATATGACGTGAATCCAATGGATTCGTTTGGAACCCAAACCCCAAGTTTTACCACAAATCCTTCGACATGTCCTTAAGAGCAAAACTTTTTCCAACTAAGCGTTCCAGGTGAATTTTTCATCAAGGACAGTGCCAAGATATTTTACCTCCGTTCCAAGTGGAATAACCTCACCATTGAGGAAAAGTGGCGTTGAATCGTTCAAATGTCTCCTCCTTGACAGACATCTGCTCCCTTAGGCACCAACGTCCATCGTGTTTTGGAGAATATTACAAGCAACCCTTCCCGATGTGGTCCTTGCCAAGATGACAAGGTCATCTGCATATGCTTGCAGATCTACTTTTCTTTTACCGAGGGCATCAAGCAGACTATCCATCAGGAGCGACCACAGAAGGGAATATGATACCTCACTTCGAGGACAGCCTCTGTCACCCTGAATCTAATGGCCTTACCATGAAGAGTCGTAGTTCCAGTTCTGTTTACCGGCATGGCATAGATCTAGCCAGTTTTTGCCGATTCTATGCCTTTCATAGCCAGGGATGATCCTATAGATCCAGGTAGTGCATTCTCAAATGCTCCTTCAATATCGAGAAATATAGCAATCGCAATCTCATTGTTGTCAAGAGATTGGAAAATTTTCTCTACAAAGTTGTTCAATGCTGAATCTGCTTTTAGTTTTCCTTTTCTCTTAAAAAACAAATACGTCATTCAATGAACTCATTTTATCTTTTTGCAGAATGGCCTCATCAACGGAATGCTTCTGGGTCTTGAAAAGTATCTGAAGAACTCCAAACAGGGATCTGAAGCTGTCATCGTTAATATATCATCCGTTGTAGGCCTAAACGCACATGGATACATGCCAGTCTACTGCGGAACAAAAGCAGCGGTGGTTACCATGACCCAGGCATGGGCTTGGCCGACCCATTCCAAAAGAACCGGCGTAAGAGTAGTTGCTCTATGTCCAGGACCTAGCGCAACACCACTGATGGATATGGAGGGTAAATTATGGTCACCGGAATATTTGGATACCATTGCAGGTGGTGATTCAGGTGGAATTCCTTTGCAAGGGTAATCATTGTTTATTGAATATTTTATCACTATATATATAATCAAGAAAGGTTAATGTAGTCAAGCTGCTGGAAAATAATTCCATGAAAATTAAAAGATAAATAGATAAGTACTATTCTGATCATTTTAATCTTCTCTGAGTATGTAATATCCCTGAAGCTTGTATTGTCAATACCTATTTGGATGATTGATTGTAAGGATAGGATGTTCCGAGAATATCCAAGAAAGGTTATTGTGCTTTGCCTGTGATTTGATATCAGGTCGTTTCCATTGATAAATCTGTCCTGTACCCATATTGGTCTCTGGAGTATGTCCTTATAATACCTAATAAATAGTTTTTCCAAAGGTCCAATTAGAAACGAAATGAAAGTGATAAAGTGATCTAGGCCTTCATTTTGCGGGACAAACTCAAGGACTTCAGTTCAATTTTTTGTATGTCCATTATCCAAGAAACAGTTCTCGCTCAAGTGTTATGAGAGTCATCTGGCGTTTGAGTATTGAAACACAATGGGAAAACTGAGTACCAATTTGACAATATTTTTAAATGTTGATCGAATTTTGGGAAGTACAGAATAGTTATTTCTGTACCAATTACAGTTATTGGTTATACTGAAATTGAATGTATAACTTGAATATTGTTACCTGAACACAGAACAATTGAATTTCCATGTATGTGAAGTTATGTCAAGAATGTTATCTCATTATGATAGAAAATCAGAATTATTATTATTGAGCTGAATTTTATGTAGAGCGAAAAGGCATATATTTCACTGAGGTGGTTGATATCTGACCTTCTATTGAGGCAATCATTTGATTATAAGATAAAAGTCATTTTCAGGAATAATCTTTCAGATTATTTTCTTTTGATTGTCGTACATTTTATGACCTCCTTCATAAATATGATTGCTGAGAACACATCTCTCAGGGTGTAGTCTACTATTACTTATGAGAAAAAATCCTATCTTTAAGTAGCCATGAAGATTGACCACTTCTACAATCAACACAAGAAATTGAATAAACTACTTTCGACTGTAGGTTGATTGAAGTTTCATTTTTAAGCTTATAAAAAAGTTTGTTAATAGTTAATATAGTTTTAAAAGCTATTTTTACATTGATATCTCTGAATATTCTGCACAGCTCAGGTGTCACCTCTGAGAAGAGAATAATATAGGATCGGAAAGTGGATAAGTCAGATTTGCATTATCATTGGACTGAACAGGAATTTGATCCACCTGATTATTATGATTATTATTGTTAAGTTGAACGGTAGACGTGCTAAATAAGATCTCTTCAACAGAGGAGCTGGGTAAGAATTATTCATTAATAATTCCAGAAAATTTGTTCGAATTCTACGCATTGCTTCCTCCATGAGTTTCTGTCAGATTTTCTTTGGGATTTGTCACATTCAGTTAGGAATGTTCATACTGATATTCTTACACTTTCGACCATTTTTCTTTATTTTTTATATTTGATCTATGATTGACTGTTGAAGAATGGACATCATAAGCAGAAATGATAGTTTTCTGTAATCGGTAAAGCCAGCTCTGTGTCTATGGAATGATTGCTTTATAGACTTCCTAGTTTTTTTTAATGTCTGACTTTTTTTAAAATGTACTGGTTCTGTACAAAACGATTTGTTGTTTCAGGTTAGATGTCGTTGCACAGGAATTGGTCAGGATAATAAAATTTGCTGAAAATGGCACCATTTGGGTTGTTGAAAGAGATCTTCCAGCTTATGAGTTCATCACGCCCGAACGTGAAACTTTCCGTAATAATGTTTTAACAGAAAAATGATTTCTAGTTTTATAATTATTTTGAAAGGAAATATATGGCCATTCAAATAAATACATTTTCAAAATGAACATGTTTCTTGTTCAACTGGTGACCTATTTATTTTGTAGAAATTCATATTGAATATGAGATGAAGAAAATAACTTTTGAAAATAAGTATATACAGAGCAAAAATAATAAAAAAAGAAAATGAGCAAGAATTGCTGAATTTCGAGTAAAAAAACCGCCGCATGGGTATCGCCCAGGAATTGTTGAATGACGTGAACGGTGATCCAGATTTGCTTGCATAATTGGTGACTAGTCATGGGTATATGTTTATGATATCGAAACCAACCTCCAATCGTCTCAATGGAAAAGCCCAGGAGAGCCAAGACCAAAAAAAGCACGCCAAGTTTGATCAAATGTCTAAGATTTACTCACTGTTTTCTTCGATTACCATAACGTAGTGCACCAGAAGTTATTTCCATTGGTCGCACGGCCAATAAGGAGTATTTTCTTGAAGTTATGCGCCGCTTGCAAGAAGCTATACGAAGAAAACGTCCAGTATTCTATAGAAACAATGCATGGCTTTTGCATATTACGATAAGTCAAGGTCAAGTTATTGAAAGTTTCTGGCTGATAAAAGAAGTAACTCCTTCTTGCAAAACTTAGATATATTAGTTTTCCATTTCCAAGGAAATGGAAAACTAATATATGATCTGACACAAAACGTGTCTGCTTTTCGTCACAAGAATATTGAGGTGCGTATTCATCAAAAAAGCGAGCACGAGCGAACAAGAGCGAAGAAGAGTGAACGAGCATCCTGCATCAATAATCAATAATGAGCGAACACGAGCAAACATACACGAATGCTCGCTCATGCTCGCTTTTTTGGTGAATACGCACCTTTATATATCGCTCTGAAATTACGTCAACGAAGCTGGGAAACGTGAGAAATCAGAATATATGCAATTCCTGCTTGATAAAAAAATCGTGTTCGTTTCGGATCGCTCAACAGAACAGCAGTGATAACTGAAACTAATCTAAAGATGCGTATTCATCAAAAAAGCGAGAACAAGCGAACATGAGTGAACACGTGCAAACAAACACGAATGCTCGCTCATGTCGCTCGTGCTCGCTTTTTTGATGAATAGGCAACTTAAAGGTGCGTATTCACCAAAAAAGCGAGCACGAGCGAGCACAAGCGAGCACAAGCGGGCATTAGCGAGAATTCGTGTATGTTTGCTCGTGTTCGCTAATGTTCGCTCGTGTTTGCTCGACATATTGATGTCTAGTCCACACCAGAGCGAATATCTTCAAGTTCGTAGTCGTAGTTGATCCATTTACTTGAGCGAGCATGAGCGAGCATTCGTGTATGTTTGCTCGTGTTCGCTCATGTTCGCTCGTGCTCGCTTTTTGGTGAATACGCACCTTGAGTTAAACTTTTTATTATTGAAATTGTTTAACTCGAGACAAGCTTAGGTTATTACTTAAATGTTATAATGTAAGGAAAGGTTATTTATTAATGAAATCTTTCACCATACCATACCATAAGCCAATTGTTACTTTCGTTGGACTAAATGATGATACTAATAATGTACATACACAAAATCAGTATCATCTTTTTAAGCTGTGTTTCACAGAATAATAGTATATTACGTACGTGAGCTGAGTGCGATAATTCGCGAGTGGACGTAATAGGCCTTATCTTCGAGGTACGTACTACACTTTTTCTACGACTGACCGTAGAAAGGAATGATTCAATATATTTGTTTGAGAATATGGCTTTGGATAATGAACTCATTCAGTCAGTCAGTCAGAACTCAATTAAATGATTTAAAATTGGTGACAATATTTCCTACAGATTATTTTATCAGGGTTCATTTCTGTTATACGTTTTTGCTAAATTTTCGAAATAAACGAGAAGAATGAATCGATGGATGTAGTCGTAACTAAGTGGTAGGAAATCATAATGAAGAAAAGAGATTTGAATCTTGATATGTTTTTACCACTTTTATTTGTAATCAATGTTACTGTAGCTTCGTCCTATAGGGACATTTTCGAACTTATACATTAATGTATGAGTTTGAAAAAGTACAGTCCGGCTTTCGTTCAAAACATGGTACCTACACAAACGGCTCTATTGAAAGTTGTAAATGAAGTATGCATTTATGGTGATAAATCTATACCATCGATTCTAGTTTTTTTGTATCAAAGCAAAGCCTTCGAACTTGTCAATTTTCAACTTCTTCTTGGGAAATTAAAATTCATTAGGTTTGGGGTACTTCTGAAGTACCCCAAGGTACTACAGAAGATACAAGGTATGCACTTCTTATCTGGCACCGTTATACTTGAACAGGATAATTGCTTTCCCGAATTCAACTTTATATGAAGTGAAACATCATTTGAAATCAATTTTGCTGAACAGTATGGAGTATTGTCGTGTTTTCCTTTGCTTTTCTACAGTTTGAGATGTATTTATCACATTTTTTCTTTGAAATTACGCATGCTTAAAAATCGAATTGTGTTATGCTAATATTTTATCTATCAAAAATGTTAATTTTATCGTTGAGCAGGAGGGGTGGAAGACAGCCATATACTAACCCCTATCCTTTTGTGTGCACGATTTCATAATTAATGAAATATATTTAAACTCGTCGTGGTATTATTCTCAAAAAAATTTGAAATGCTTATTGGACGTGAGTCACTGAAAGGTGGTATAGCTATTTTGGAAGTAGGTACAATATTAGCAACAATAACATACTTTCCTGAATAACTCAAAAGTAGGCGAATTAATTCTGAGAGAGGTATACAAAAAGGTAGACTTTTGGGCCCTGAGTCCCATTACAGCAATTCATCAAATTATTAATCTCACGGATAGTGAATTCAATAGTTGATATTCAGTTGGTGGTATCATTACTGATGACTAACTAGGTTTCAAGAATTTTTGTACAACAATCGCAGTTCTCTTTCTCTTGACCCCAAGCGCAGTCGTGCCCAATGTGAGGTGATTTATTTGAAAGACTGTGTTCCAAGACTTCATTCGGAGTATGTCCCCAAACAATTTTTATATTACGGCGAGATAACTTCAATACCGGAGGCCACTACACTCAAATATTTGGGAGTAATTCTAGATCGGCATATGAAGTGGGATCCATATATGTCACATTAACCAGAAAATTACGCGGATTTCTATCACGTTTCAAATTATTGATAGAAATACTCGAAATCTCCCAGTTAAAAACAATTTATTATGGATAAGTACAATCACAACTCAATTATGGAATTATTACATGGGACGGTGTGAACGATAAACACTCAAAATGTCTGAACGTAATACAGAAACATATCTTGAAAATTGTAATGGTAAGAAAAGGACTTATTCCAGTAGAGATTTGGTCATGGAGAGCGGGGTTTTTCATATCAAAAAGTTATTTTACTTGAAAATCATTTCCAAAATTCATGAGGGCAAAATATCACTGAACAAACTTCAACACCCATAGCTTACTAGGAACAAAGAACATACCACCTTGGTATCAAGATATAAGAAATTAGTCGCTCAAAGGCATTGTAGCTACACGGGTGCGAAAATTTAGGATTCGGTACCAGAAAGCATAAGAAATAAAAATAAATTCAAAAAACAGATTGAAAACTGGTTGAGAAACTGCAATGATGATATATTCCGTGCAACCATCAACTAGTAAAATTGAAACAACACTACCCTTGCCTGTTAACTTGCCAATTATTTTCAAAATAGACAGCTGAATTTTTCCGAACAATGTTATTTGTCTATTTTCTTCCTTTATTCAACTGTCTATGCACGAGTGGATTGAATATTATACTTTGTTTTGTATATTCAGTTGGCTATACCACACACAAGAAACTCTTTTCGTGGTGCCTTGCTTATTTTATTTTTTTTCTCAGTAATGTATAGGTTACTTGAAATTGTATATTATGAATAAAATAAACTTTGTGATTATTATTATCAACTAAGTTATGTAACAGACCTACTTACTAGCGCCTGAATTGGACTGCCGGAAGACAGTGCTTGCCATCTCTTTTTGGAAGATCATTAAACAGCAGGGCGTATATAATATCTTCTGTACCTGTCCCGCCGCAAACATAAACAGATTTCCAGTCTTTGGAAGAGTTCAATTCTTGTCATCTGACCTGAAAAATCAGTCAACGAATGCAGTTATCAGTTTCGCTAAGAAGCAGAACTTATTTCGTCGATTTTGATTAGGTATGACCCACAATAATCCCTCGGGTGTTACAATGGAAGGTCGAACAAACACTCATTTTTGACCTAGCTACCTTCTTCTTTTTGAATAGAAAAATATTTTAATTCCTGAATTCATCTTCATTTTACCAATACATTCATTCAATTCCTCAAATTCTTCAATATATTTCCAAAACCGAACCATACACCGTATCATTTCAGGACTGGACAAATTTTTGTAGAATCATGGATAAAACAGCGAGACAACTGCTGGGGTTACTGAATTAGATTTGTTCCCCATATTCAGTGCTACAAAATTTGCAGTTGAAGGTATCACAAGAAGTTGAAGGCTCCAATTTCATAGAGAGGAGTCATGTTAGAGTTGTTTGTATTTGTCCTAGGTCAACAAATTACTCTATCTTTCAAGGTGACAACAGTTTGTTATTCAAAGAATATTCGAAGATTTTTTTCAATTTTACCCGACTGATTTTTCTGGTCTTCTATATTTAAGGTGTGCTAAGTGTTCCTTATAACTGATTTCAATATACATTTCAGTCTATTCATTATATTTTGCCTTGCAGTCCTTACATTTAATTTCGTGAATTCCAGACTTTTCCGAATTCTTGACTTTGTTCTCTGGACTTCCTAAAATGATCTGTAATGTATGACTCATTTCAAATACCCCCTTCATACCTAGTTATTGAAAATCTTTCTAAAGTTCTTCGTGTATTGATGGTATCGAATTGAGATATATTTATCTTGGTTTTCCTTTCTAAAAGTCGGCATTTCGTTCATTCTTACTGTATTGTCACTTGTTCTTTTGCAACCCTCTCATATGTAGGAGGAATAGTCAAAAAATGATGCACTAGAAAATTCAACCCAGCACGTTTGTGCTGTCCACAGTGATGTGAAGTGTCAGGAATATGCCTGTGAGTACATGTTTCCTTCCTAAATTTCCACTTCGACTCCTCATTGCCAAAAGGTCAAGAAATGGAAGTTGTCCTTTATGTTCTAACTCAGACTTGAATTTTATTGATAGAAGTCTGTTATTTAGAAAGGAAACAAGTCTTCAATATTCGATGTTTTTTTAAATAATCACTTGGTGATTGAAACAAGTGTAAAGGTGGTGAGATNTAATCACTTGGTGATTATGGAACACGTATCGAGGTGTTAAAAAATAACTGTTTGGTATTGGGATAGAACTCCAGTAATATTGAAATAAACTCTTCACAGAGATGTGTAGATTTTGCTGGTAACTCTAAGATACAAACTGGAAAAAGAAGCCTTTCTGAAACAACTACCCCTACATTGATTTTTCAATGTGAAGGTAATTGAAACTATCGTAACACAGTTATATCAAGTTTAGAATTTTCTATTCAGATTAATATCAAAATAAAGCTATTCGTTGAAATTGAAACCTAGTCTAGCTAGGTTGATGTGTAAGTTGTTTATATAATCTCCAAGATAATGTATTCTATTCTTGTCCATAAAGAGCAGAACACGTATCTATAGAGGCAACAAAGACCATAAAATATGCAAACTATGGTACGCTTTGGGTGGTTGAAAACAACGAACCCGCCTATGAGTTCGTTTTATACGCGAGAACTAATTTCAAGGACAATGTGGAAGTATTTAGGTGAATATAAATTACAACTAACGATGACTCCAAGTCTATAAACTCGTAGACCAGTCGTAGTGTCAGGTTTTCCTGTTCGTAGAAGAATCAGTATGGTATTTGAAATAAAAGGAAAAGTTGCTTTGATAACTGGTGGTGCTTCAGGATTAGGTTTATCCCATGCCAAAGAACTTTTACGGAATGGTTTGAAAGTAAGTGCCTACGAGATTATCTTCTATAAACTTTCATATTCCACTGAGATATGTTTAAAATATTTTTTTTCAAATCACAGTATGCCCTAATGTTACTTTCATAAAAATATTATTTGACTGGCCTGTTAATAACACTATCACTATGTAGTAACACTATGTGGTAACGGCTACATCCATCAATTTAATAACACTATCATTTACAATTTCTAGACGCGATTCGCTAACACACCTAGAAATTGAAATTTTTGTGAAAATTGTATAATCATTGTCATGTTTCATTCATAAAAGCATGGTTGATTTTATTTTCAAAAATGACACTCCAAATGAATATCTGTGACCCCCACAGTTCAACTCCTTAGGAGATGTGAATATTCCATTTGAAATATCAAATGGTAAAGGGGGGTCAAGTGGCACGTCAATCTGAAGAGCGTTCAATTCTCTTTCCAACAGTATTTCAGTTCATTATTTTTCAATCTAAAGAAATGAACTTTAAACGTTCAATTCAAGACTGCCAGTCTTCAAGCATAGCCCGCTGACTAATAAGAAAATCATTATTTTTTTATGAATAGTTTTCAAAAACCACCTTTCTAAACTTATATAAGTACATAGAACTTGCCTGCACTGAGATGCATGGTTTTTGGGTTGAGATTCAAGAAAATATTATTGTGTTGACTCTCTCATCAGTAGAACTGGTCGGATGAGTTAGCCCCGTTCCAACTTTTCACCAGGGGCAACATCAGCTATTAGCCTCAATAAATTAACATCAATAAGTAATCTAATGGTAGTTCACTTGCGTTTATTATTGGAATTGTAATTCTCATCGCTGGAATTTCAGTTGGCCTTCCTTTTTTTAACAAAAAATTGTACAGAAACTTTAAACGATTAAACGTATTGTTCATTCAGTTTCATTTGTTGAGTTGTGTAGTGGGTGAATTTTCGTTATGTGGACACCCGGCGATTTTGAAAAAATTTTTGACTGTACTTACGTATTTTGATGCGTAGATTACGAATCCTTTTCTTTCGGATTCGTAATCTATGCATCAAAATACGTAAGTACAGTCAAAAATTTTTTCAAAATCGCCGGGTGTCCACATAACGAAAATTTACCAGACAACTTTTTCCTCTAAAATGTTCATCGAAAAATTATTCGAAATTTTCGAAATACAAATTTTTGAAATTTTTCAAAATAAGTTTGGTTTTTTTTCATGAGTTTTTCAATATCAGTTATTTGTATCTCGAAAACGAACGATTTTTCGATAAACATTTTATAGAAAAAAGTTTTTTATTTTGATGAGATCCACCACATACTTAGTTTTTGTAATGTTCTCAGCAGCTTCACTTAGCGCCCTAGGAGATAAGTGTTATGCATAGAAAATTGTAAATATCTCGAAAACGATCACCTTCAGCGTTGTTGAGTACATGTATCTTTTTTGCTTGCAAAAGGTGTGGAAGTAAGGATTTCTCATGAAAAGTACCAAAAGTTCACTATCAAAAAAGTTTGGGCATTTTGAATTAAATTGTGACGGCTTACGCAGCGCCCTCTATATGTTACATGGAAATCAATACGAAATTATGATTTCTCATGTCAAAAAAATCCCGGGTACCAAATTTCGTGCGAATAACTTATTTTTGCAAAAGTCACTTGAATATTTCAGCGTTCTAAATGTTACACCTGTACAGAATGACTTTTTTTCGAAACTGGTTCGGTGAACAATAAAATAATTAATGACGTCAGAGTTGGGAACATTTGCTGCAGAGCTTCACTAGCTCCTCATAGAGATAAACTTTGTCTTCCACACTAAGTAATTTGGACGAATCATTTAAAAGTTATCACGATAAGATTAACTTGACGAAACGCAGATTAGATCTGTTATTGATAGTTATGTCTGTATGGTGGGTTTGTGCTAAATTGCGAAATCATGTTCGTTATTGATTTTTGTAATTATGATTCTAATTGTAATTGTCTGAAGTTTACAGAGTCATTGGTTTCTAGTTCTATTGTGAATTTATGTTTTCGTGAATAAAGTATTGAAAAAATTACTGTGATGTGTTCCTGTGAAGCAGGTTATAGTATCGCCAAAATATCAATGAATACATTTTTCAAAAAATAAAGAAGGTGTTCAGTACCTATGCGACAGCGCATTCTATTCTTATTTGATTTTGTGATACTACTAACAGAATCAATGAAACGCTTTTTGTGGAAGAAATCATCAATCGTAATGTAATTTGTTGGACAGGATGAAATTTCGAGAAAATTAAAAGTGACATGTGAATAAAGGTCCGCAGTATGCAATAGTGAAAAGGAGGTGTTATTTTACTTGTACTTATTAACAGTGTTCAAATTGGTCACTTTGTCTATTTTTGAGTTGCCATATCTTGTGGCAAATAAAGTCCATAATGTTAAAGGAAAAAAATAATAATCTTGAAATTTGACTAATGACATCAGTTACCAAAATAAAAATTAGAAATTACCTTTCCTGATTGGCATTCAATGCGAAAAATTCTAAATTGTAAAAAATTATCGCATTTCTTCAAGGTAACTCATGAATATTTTCGATAACGATGTAGGCTCGTCTATGAAATGGCGTCAGATTTTAGTAGTTTTGTATCACAGGGTGGTAAATATGGTATTCGAAATTATTAGTAAAATAGCTCTCATTACTGGGGGTGCTTCTGGATTAGGTCTAAGTCATGATAAAGAATTTTTTAGACAGGTTCTGAAGGTTAGCAGTTATTAATATTTAGAAAATTTTGCAATACAATCATGATTTTCGAAATGAAAATCGAATTGAAAATCATGGTTAAATAGCTCTCCTTACTAGGGATTAGGCCTAAGTCTTGCTAAATAATTTTCAAGATAGGACCTGAAGTTAAGCAGTTATTGGTAGTCAGTTATTGGTATTGGTAGTTATAATTCGTGAAATGTGAGGCAAGGTCAAAATCACGGTTGAAATAGTTGTCATTACTGGGGGTTGCTCATGACTAGGGATGATTCTGAATTAGGCCTAAGTCTTGCCAGAAAATTTTTATGGTGGGGTCCAGAGGCAAGCAGTTGCTATCTATCTAGTTCTAGCTGCTATCTAGTTGCCGCGGGCAACAACTAATGATTCTATAAACGAGAATCAAATTCAAATCACTGCTGAAATAGCCCTCATCATGAGGGGCGATTCTGGATTGGGTCTAAGTTTGGATAGGTGAGAAGTTTTCAGTACCTAAAATATATGAAATCATGATTCTGGAAATAAGAAGCTAATTCGAAATCAGGGCTGAAATAGCTCTCATAACTAGGGGTGATTCTGGATCAGGTCTCAGTCTTGCTGTCTTGCACATTATTTTCCACAAGGAGATTTTAGGCCTTTCGAGAATTGATACCTGTAGTCAAAACCATTACTATCATTTTATGACACAATACCAAACATTATTAATTCGTCTGACATAAATCTCATCAGTGAGAGATATTTGACTGAATCATGAATACAACTTTTGCACTCAGCTGTTGTTCAAATTATTAAAGCAAAATGTAGGGTTTCTCCAGAGGCTCCAATGATTATTATATTGCTTTTAGGGTGTAACTCTTGCTGATGTTAATGAAAACTTAGGAAAAACGGCTCTGGATGAAATAGAAAAGGAATTCGGCAAGGAAAGAGCTATTTTTGTAAAAACTGATGTCACTATCAGAGAAGATTTTCAAAGTAAGTAATATATTTGATTGTATAAAGTTGTATAAAATTAGTATCTTTCGGATATTGTATATAAAAATTCAGATACTCAGAGCTAGGTTATTATGAAATCTATTAAGGAAAAAAATAAATGAACAAATGCATAAGAACATCGTTTGAATAGTTGTGTTCCATCGTTTTGAAAGTATTTAAAACTTCTGAAGTGACGAAAATGTCAATATTATCAGGCCCTAAAAGAGCTTCCCATTAGAAGAGAACTCTTGGCAAAGTAGAGCAGAGTTTTGATTTTTGACCGACAGACCCCGATAATCATATTACTTTTTCACAGATGCTTTCGAAAAAACAGTGGAACATTTCAAAAACGTCGACATTTTGGTGAACAACGCTGGAATTTTCAACGATTTTTCATACGATATGATTTACAAAACAATTCAACAGTTTAATGTTTCATATCGAGAGTTGATATATTTCGCATATTTTATAGCTGGAGGCTATCTTTCTCCCGTTCCATAGTGAAGCAAAAATTTTCATACAGTGAGAATTTCATCAGTTACAAAACACAGAGAAGCAATAAGAAACATTTGAGCACCTGAACACTAGATAAATATTTTTTATTGATATATGGAGAAAAGAATATATGGTATTATACTATTCAGATAGTTCTGTCCAAAGTAGAAAAACATTCCTCAAATTTGCCGTGTGCAGAAGATTGCCTGTTGAATTCTAATTTCTCTTTCAGTCAACCTGACCCTTCTGAACAATAAAACCACTAAGTAATGATACACCCAGTACATCTAATTGTAATTTTTATTTATTCCAATAAGGATACAATTATATCTGATATCAGGCACTTGGAAATATAACTCCCACTTCTTGATGATTCACTAGCTGATAAATATTTTGAAGGGATTCAAAAGAATGTATATAACCTAATATTGTGTCCTTCCATCAAGTGTAGTCAGTAATATGATATAATATAAAAGATCTGAAGCTTGTCAATCCTTGTATGACTCGGTAATGTTGTATTGTTATTCATTTTCTTCGGAACCATCACCTGGAACATGAAGAAATAATAATACCTATATTTTGTTTACATTATTCAGTTCACTAAGTTAGAATATCTTGCTATCAATCCACCCACCTTGTTGCTGTGCCTAATCCTCTTATTTCAACTTGATTAATTTGTATAGAGTATAGGAATGATTATAAATTATTCTCATTGTGAATAAACCTTATCTGTAACTCTCACTGTCACTAGTTATGTAGTTATCATTTACTTGGTTGGTTCCAAGAACTACTCCGAAGTAGTTTTGGAACACCAAAACTGGTCCCGTTCCGCGTTTAGCAATTAATAATTCAAAGAAGATATGAGATTCTGCTTTTATTGTCGTGTTTTAGTTGAACCTATTCTGGGATACCTAGGTATTGATATATATACAGGGCTACTCAAATTCGTTTCTGTACATGGGGATCTCGTAAACGATAAGAGTGTCGGTTAAATTATGCCAACGTTGCGAATTTTAGAGACCTATTCGATAATGTAAAGAAATCGAATATAGTTCTTTTGGTTCTGGAGATATACAGGAAAAACCAAAAAAACCCAAATTATTTTTTTGCCTATATNATTTCTTCACATCATTGAATTGATCTCTAAAATACACAACTTTGCCATAATTCAACCGACACTCTATCTCTTATCGTTTACGAGATCTCCATGTACAGAAACTAATTTGAATAGCCCTGTATTTTACACTGACCATTATGCAAGTTGTTCGGTTTAACTCGGGTTTACTAGAAATGAAAACAAAACAACATGTAGTGCATACAAAAGAAAATTCAGACAAATGCGCAAAGTCCAATGTACGAGGGGGAGGGTTGTTCCTGTTGTTTGCGGTTGCGTAGGTACTGTTTTGGTTTTCCTGCGAAAAATACCACCTGCCAATTTGTAGGATTCATGATTATTTTAATCATCCTTAATTGGGAACGTTCCTGCATATCAAAACATTTGAATTTTGGAATTGATTGTGGATTTGTGAAGTGGTTTCAAATTCGCGGTGCTGCTGGTCCGGTGGTTCTGTTCACTATAGATTATAAGGACTGGATAGAAGGAGGGTCCTAATACCTTCACTGTCCTGAAACTATACTATCCTTTATCCAAATGAGGGGATCACTCGAAAAGACTATCATACACGGTGTCCTGGTCCAAATCATAGCAATACAATTGAACTATCATACAGGATGTCCCAGACTGAATTTTGGCTTATTGTTGAATCATCATACAGGGTGTCCCAGGAGGATTGCACTCGAGAAGTATGTCATACATGGTGTCCCAGCCATGGTGTCATGGTGTCCCAGAAAGAATGCTCTATGCTCCCAGCTCCAGTCAACCGGCCGTCGTGGGATAGCACGCACGTTTTTTTTGCTTTGCTTCAGTTTTATCGTAATCCTACGTCATGCAACCAAATAACTATTCACTTTTCCAAGATTCATCCAATTGAAGCAAGTACAAGCTTCCAATAAAGCAAATAAACAGATAAGGCAGGTGCACTGAAATAATAAACAAAAAAACTAGTTATCAATAGCATACGCAAAGGAATAAAAACTGACCGCTATCAATAGTTATATGATCAGTTATCAATAGGCACTAGCATAAGTATAAACATAGGCATAGTCATCAAAATCTGATCTGTTTCTAAATCCTTTAAAATCTTATTATCATTAGAAATAAAGCCAACACCTTGTAAAGTATCAATTTGAAAATAAGTAACTCTATACATGGATGTGTAGATCATGCAAAGAAGTAACTTTCAGACACAAACTGAAAGAAAGTCCTCCTGAAACAGCTACTTTCATATAAACATTGAATTACAAACTGAAAGAAAGTCCTCCTGAAACAGCTACTTTCATATAAACATTGAATTACACTTTTTTTTTTCTTTCGTGTAATTCAATGTTTATATGCGGATCAATGTGTTCAAATAATTAGGAGTTTCACTTTCCAATTACTTTTATAAAAATACAAACATGATCAGGATGATACAGCATTGATCCAATATCAATGTCGTTTTTTTAAAAGCTGGAGCTCGAACTCGTTTAGGGATTTCAGTTTGATTTATGTGTACATTCAAGGAGAGGGAGTAACCCATTTTTTCTGCTGAATTCACCCAGTCAATCGGTTTACTATCAAGACGGACATTTCTTTTTACTTATTTTTTTTGTATGTCATACCCTGAGCATAAAGCAACTTTTTATTCAGATTCACTCGAAGGCCATGATCATTAGAAAACAAAAGTGTATTCCACAAATCAAATTTAAAGTCGGTGATACCTTGGTAGATATTACCAGATATACTTGAAAACCATCACCATGTAAATGGAGGACGCACTGTGCTAACACTGCATCGAAAGTCAAAAATCAAAAGAGATAACAATAATTGGCTCATAATGCTACTTTGTAGTATACCAAAAAAGCTATATGAACGAAAGAGATCATTGTATAACATAACCAGTTGAGCCTTTCCTGTAAGGTAGCTTTCTCTTCAAATCAAAGAGCTGCTTCCAAACCCAATGTATTTCAGTTTACTCAGTAATAATTTGAGGTTTATCAAATCGAATGATTCGCTGTGATCAAGCATAATAAGAAATGAAACTACTGATTCATCCTTAGAATTAGCGATATATGTGGTAACCTTCAACAGAGCTGTGTTGATGCCATGCTTCTGTCGACAAGCAGATTGCACTTCTGGAACTGTATTAGTTGTAATCAAATGTAATTTGATTTTTTGTCTCATTCTCTTCTGAAAATGCTGGCGAAATACTTATTTGGTGGTAGATCTATTTTGGAAATAGGCAAAATATTCGTAACAATGACATACTCTCCTGAATAACTCGAAAAAAGGCGATTACTTGATTATTTCTGAAATAGGAATACAATAAGGTAGTCTTTTGAGCCCTACTTCTCGTTTCAGCAATTAATGAACCTACTGAACTCATGGACAGCGAATTCAATAACTCATATTCAGTTTCTGCCCCGCTGCAGACACAATCAAGTTTTTAGTTTTTGGCAGAGCTTCACTATTGTCATCAAACCAGCAAGATCATCCAACAAATGAAGTAATCAGTTATTAAATCGATTTTGATTTAATATGAGCTACAGTGAACTCAAGAGGGTTACAATGGAGAGCTAAATAGACTCCCTCACTTTTGATACTGTTACGTTTTTTTCCCGTGGGTTGACCAATAATTGACTACACTGAATAATCAAACTTAACTTTATTCCACTTTAAATACAACAAACACTTCAACTAAAACTTCAACTATTATTTAAAGGTCTATCGCCTTACCAGAATACTTCGCGTATCGCACTGTAACGTCCACTTGACTGTCTGAATGTCTATCGCCGTACTTGATCACTTCGCGTATCGCACTGTATCTTCCACTTGAATGTGTACTTGACTGTCTCGATACGCTCGTAGCCAGCATTTAAATATCGCAATCGAATATCGTAGAATTTTTTCCGAAGTTCCATCGACATCGGTAGCATGTTTCTTGCTGCTTCTCGAGCGGCAGGGAACATTGGATATTCCCACGCTCTCAGCTACGTCACGTTTGGTTTCCAGTAGCGGGCATGATTTACAATACTACCCCCTTCCCTGAGGTTGTTCGCCCCGAACAACATTCCAAGAGGGAACATCACGACCTACGTAAGGACTCAGCCTTTCTATGTGGATAACTTTAGGCTTGCTTCTGGGTGACAATTGGATTCTGTACACCAGATCGTTCATCTTTTTGGTTACCAAGTAAGGTCCTTGCCATGGCCTCTGCAACTTGAGGCACAAACCTTTCCGACGTTGGACCTCCGACCTCTTGAGATTCATCGAAAGGACTTCCATACCTTTTGTCGACTACTTCAAGCTTTTTTCAAGCTCTTCTTCAAATTTTCTTCCGACTCCTTCAAGCTCCTCCTCAAATTTCCTTTNAGTGCCAATAGATATAGGCAAAAACATAATTTGGGATTCTATTGTTTTTCCTGTATATCTCCAGAACCAAAAGAGCTATATTCTATTTCTTCACATCATTGAATTGATTTCTAAAATACACAACTTTGCCACAATTCAACCGACACTCTATCTCTTATCGTTTACGAGATCCCCATGTACAGAAACTAATTTGAATAGCCCTGTATTTTACACTGACCATTATGCAAGTTGTTCGGTTTAACTCGGGTTTACTAGAAATGAAAACAAAACAACATGTAGTGCATACAAAATAAAATTCAGACAAATGCGCAAAGTCTAATGTACGAGGGGGAGGGTTGTTCCTGTTGTTCGCGGTTGGGTACTGTACTGGTTCTCCTGCGAAAAATACCACCTGCCGATTTGTAGGATTCATGATTATTTTTATCATCCTTAATTGGGAACGTTCCTGCATATCAAAACATTTGAATTTTGGAATTGATTGTGGATTTGTGAAGTGGTTTCAAATTCGCAGTGCTGCTGGTCCGGTGATTCTGTTCACTATAGATTATAAGGACTGGATAGAAGGAGGGTCCTAATACCTTCACTGTCCTGAGGCTATACTATTCTTTATCCAATTGAGGGGATCACTCGAGAAGACTATCATACACGGTGCCCCGAATCATAGCAATACAATGGAACTATCATCTTAGCTTATCGTTGAATCATACATGGTGTCCCAGCCTGAATCTTAGCTGGGTCTGTGACTGAAAACACCTGCACCAGAACCGGAAAGCGTTTTTGATCAATCTGTGAACGAACAATATTTCCTTCTCCCGATGGATCCAGTCCCCTGTACTCGGAAACAGTACTTTATAAGGAAGTTCGAAGTTGACAGTTGGAGGCACAAAGTCGAAGGTCATTTCCAGAATGATGTGATTTCCAGTGTCAATCAACAGTCTGTTGCAGAGTGCAACAGTGCAACAGTCTGTTGCACTCTGCAACAGACTGTTGTCTGTAGTCTATATGTAGTCCATCCAGCCTCTCTCTACAGATATATATGTACTCGTATTTGTATCCATCAAACCAAAACCTAACCATAAAACTACTAAAACTGCTATTGGTTTCTGCATATACAGGGTGACCCGTCATATTCAAATGAAACCAATTCATTTGATACCAAAGAATAACTCCATAAAGACGTGTGACCTTCGAACTATACGAGAGGACACGTGATCATCTGTCAATGTATCATATGACAGATGGGTATTTGACGGTTAGCTAACAGTGAAGTTGGGAGGGGTTCCCAACTATTGTGAGTTGATTCGATTTTGAATGGGCGAGTTTTCAGTCACAGACCCAGGACAGAGATATCAACCTGCCTAGGAACCTATGCGACTGTATTTCAAGTGGAAATTTTCGATATTGAATTGTGTGCGGAGAGATTGGAAGAAACTAATCTCATACACAAGTCAATAAAAATATTCTTTGAACAGTCAAGCGGCGTTGAAAGCTCTTGGCTCCTACCGAGCAAAGTCTAAGCTTGTAGCAAATTGCCAAAAACGACTCTCCTCGATAGAAAGGCTCAATAGATTGCCTCTGATCTGGATTCCTGGCCAAACTGGCCTGGAAGGCAATGAGACTGCTAACTCCCTTGCAAAGAAGGGTGCTGCAAGGGCTTCATCGGACGAGAACCTGTCATTTGCATCGCTTCAGGCTTTGCCAAAATAAAGATTAAACAACTGGATGGCAAGAAGATTTATGGACTTCTGGCTGAATCTTTCAGAATTGGCTCACTTCGAATCCTGATACTAAACAGCTGTTGGACAGGCCCTTCTCACAGGTCACTGTCATTTGAATTATCATATGCAGAGACTCAGACTGTCGAAAGACAGTGTGTTTTGGAAAATGATAACACAGCAGAGCACATACTTTGTGCCTGCCCCACAGAGCCGTACTCTTACCTTCTACCTGAAAGACCATTCACCATACGAACTAATCGGCTTCGTTAAGAACCTGGGTTTATTTGGTCGAGTGTGAATAGGTGTGAGCCACAATAAACCCTTGAGGGATGCGGTGGAGGGTCGACCTAACCTAACCTATATATCCGAAAATGTAAATGGAAATTTTTACGCTGATATATATTCAAAATAGAGTTTTCATCAGGTCCCAGTTTTTGTAAAATACTGGTGAATGAGTTTCGAGATATACAGGGTGCAATGAACCAACAAGTTGATGATGGTTTTGTTACATACCGTCCCTCCTCTTTGAGCCACTAAATAATTGAAAAAAAACATTATCGATAAACATTTTGGATCATGTTCCTTCATATCTTGTGTGATCAATTTCAGGATGACTAGCATGAAACACTCCTTGTTCCACGCCCTTCTAGGTTTTACTCGTTTGACGAGCGCTGGAGAAAATTTAACACAAAGAATAGTACCTTGTGTAATCCAAATACAGGCAAATTTACCTAAAGCAACATAAGTATCTGTATATGTATACACACAACAGGATAACACAACACACAACAGGATAATACGTTCAGATAGAAGAGTGCCTAGAAGATGACAGCACGACCAGCTGTCGAAAGTGCTCGCAGATAATCAAATAGAAGTCATAGAGCTTCAAATCCTTTTTGTAACCTACATAAATTTTGGTATATTTTTAAAAAAACGGTTCACGGTAAGACTATCTAATGAATACTTTCTTGATGAAATTTCTTTTCACTTTCTTTTTATAACACTGCAATTCTCATAACTGACTTCATTCAGTAGAGGAAAAGGTCCAAATTTGGGATAGGGTCTAAATTCTGGTTAACGTACAAGAAGGTACTGGAACCTATCGGAGAGAATGTAAAACAATGTTTAGGATTGTTCCCATTGTTCAGTTAGAGGGATAGTTCTGTTCCGGATATGCTTAGTGAAATATTCTTTGAATTTGACCATCTGAAAACTTTTGCAAATACATTTTCTTTATTTTATTGCATAATCTAAGTATATGACAAGAGCATTCTTACTAATGAGTTTGATTATTAATATATTGAGATTTTATTATAAATATAGTTGTTACCTCTCC